GGCCAGTCATACTGGGTTTTGTTTAAACTCTCCCTGGGTGATTCAAAATATAGTCTGGTTAAGAACCATTTTCACTGAACATTGTACTCTTAAGTTCCAGAATGGCCTTCCTGGGGAATCACATGTCTTTAATTATCTAGAGGACACTTGATTCTGTTTTCTCTGGGCAAAGATATCCCTTTTTTTTTTCTTTTTTTTTTTTCCCACACTTTAGGTGAAAGTTCACAGCGCAAATTAGTTTCGTATTCAAAGATGTATACACAGATTGTTTTGTGATATTGGCCATCCTCGAAATGCGTCAGCACTCCTCCCCTTTATCTTTACACTCCGGGTTCCCTGTGTCCATTTGTCCAGCCTTCCTGTCCCTTCCTGCCTTCTCGTCTTTGCTTTTGGGCAGGTGTTGCCCATTTGGTCTCGTATGTTTGATTAACTAAGAAGCACATTCCTCATGTGTGTTATCCTGTCTAACCTTTGACTGAAAGGTGGACTTTGGGGGTGGCTTCAGTTCTTAGTTAGCAGAGTTTCCAGGGGCCATAGTCTCGGGGGTTCCTCCAGTCTCTGTCAGACCAATAAGTCTGGTCGTTTTTTGTGAATTTGAATTTTGTTCTGCATTTTTCTCCCGCCTTTTCTGGAACCCTCTATTGTGATCCCTGTCAGTGCAGTGAGTGGTGGAGCCAGGCACCATCTAGTTCTTCTGGGCTCAGGCTGATGGAGGCTGTGGTTCATGTGGTCCATTAGTCCTTTGGACTAATATTTTCCTTGTGTCTTTGGTTGTCTTCATTCTCCTTTGCTCCAGATGGGATAGGACAAATAGATGTATCTTACATGGCTGCTTGCAAGCTTTTAAGACCCCAGACACTACTCAGCAAAATAGGATGTAGAACATTTTCTTTATGAACTATGTTTTGCCAGTTGACCTAGATGTTCCCCAAGACCATGGTCCCCAGCCCTCAGCCCCAGTAACTTGGTCCCTCAAGGTGTTTAGATGTGTCTAGGAAGCTTCTATGACTTTGCCTTGGTCAAGTTGTGCTGACTTCCCCTGTATTATGTGTTGTCTTTCCCTTCACCAAAGTTAACACTTGTTTACTGTATCTAGTTAGTGATTTCCCCTTCCCACCCCTTCTCTCCCCTGTAACCATCAAAGTTTTTTTCTTCTGTGTGCAAACCTTTTTATAATAGTGGTCTCATACAATATTTGTCCTTCTCTGATTGACTTATTTCACTTAGCATAATGCCGTCCAGATTCATCCATCTTGTGAGATGTTTCCAAGATTCATCATTGTTCTTTATCCTTGCATAGTATTCCATTGTGTGTATGTACCATAATTTGTTTATCCATTCATCTGTTGATGGGCACTAAGGTTGTTTCCAACTTTTTGCTATTGTGAACAATGTTGCAATAAACATGGGTGTGCATGTGTCTATTCATGTGACAGCTCTTCTTTCTCTAGGATATATTCCTAGGAGTGGGATTGCTGGATTGTATGGTATTTCTATTTCTAGCTTTTTAAGGAGGCGCTGTATCATTTTCCATAATGGTTGTACTCACAACCTCTCCAACATTTGTTATTTTCTTTTTTTTAATTAGTGCCAGTAATGTTGGGGTGACATGTTATCTCATTGTACTTTTGGTTTGCGTTTCTGTAATGACTAATGATCAAGAGCATTTCTTCAGGTGTTTGTTAGCCACCTGAATGCCTTCTTTGGTGAAGTGTCTGTTCATATCCTTTGCCCATTTTTAATTGGATTATTTTTCTTCTTCTTGTTGAGGTGTTGAAGTATTCTATAGATTTTAGAAATTAGATTCTTGTCAGATATGTTGTTGGCAAAAATTTTTTCCCAGTCTGTAGGTTCTCTTTTTACTCTTTTGGTGAAGTCTTTTGATGAGCATAAGTGTTTAATTTTTAGAAGCTCTCAGTTATCTAGTTTCTCTTCTCGTGTTTGTGCATTGTTACTTATGGTTTGGTACTTATGGTTTGTATTGTGTTTATGCCATGTATTAGGGCCCCTAGTGCTATCCCTATTTTTTTCTTCCATGATCTTTATAGTTTTAGGTTTTATATTTACATCTTTGATCCATTTTGAGTAAGTTTTTGTGTGTGGTGTGAGGTATAGGTCCTGTTTCATTTTTTTACAGAGGGACATCCATTTTTGCTAGCACCATTTGTTAAAAAGACTGTCTTTTCCCCATTTAATGGACTCTGGTCCTTTGTCAAAGATCAGCTGAACATAGGTGGATGGATTTATGTCAGGGTTCTCAATTCTGTTCCATTGGTCTATGTGTCTGTCATTGTACCAGTACCAGGCTGTTTTGACTACCATGGTTGTATAGTAGGTTCTGAGATTAAGTAGTGTGAGGCCTCCTACTTTGTTCTTTTCCTTCAGTACTGCTTTGCTTATCCAGGGCCTCTTTCCTTTCCATATAAAGTTGGTGATTAGTTTTTTCATCTCGTTAAAGAATGCTACTGGTATTTGGATTGGGGTTGCATTATATCTGTAGATCACTTTGGCTAGAATAGGCATTTTCACAATGTTAAGTCTTCCTATCCATGAGTATGGTATCTTTTTCCATTTATGTAGGTCTCTTTTGGTTTAACAGTTCTTCAGCCACATAAAACACTGGGCTCTACAAGTATACTCTTTCCCTCTAAGCTTGAACATGGGCCTCATCATCCTTCTTAACTCAGAGCTTACTAGTCAATCAGAATTTGCACATGAGCTGATTGAAATCTGCTGGCCATTCTAGGGGTTGGCCTCCAGTTCTTAGAGCATCAGGATGAACCATGTGGCCAGGAAGACACCTTCAGCCCTCTAGACTAAGGCCTTCCTTTGCATGTTGAGCAACCTCCTTGGTCCTCTTCCCCTGGCCCTTGATGTTGGCCTTGAGGTCCTATCCCTCTTTTGGTGTGAAGAGGCATGGAGAGCCTAAAACAAGAGAATGAGAGCCTAATTACAAGCCCTATTACAGACCTGATCTAAGCCCTCCATGCCATGCCATTCTTGCTCTGTCTTACCCAGGGATCTTTGTGGCCTCTGCAAGGTCAGGGTTTCCTCCCCATGGGAGGACTTGTAAGAGGGAAAGGGCCAGGAACAAAGAGAGGCGTTTAAGAGAAGGTGGCTCCTCAAAACACGAAGGCAGGCTCCATGTGTAACTCCTTTTCTCTTCACACTAGAAGTTGTACCCCTGCTTGGCACAGTGGCCTAATATCCTTGCAGACTATTTTATCTTTAACCCATTTCAGAATTCCTTTTCCTTCTTAGGGTAGACCAAGGGGAGCAAAGCCCTTGAGCTCCCAGTGAAGTTAAGGTACATGAGGATATGTAGCTGGGATCATATAATGTTTGGGGAATTCAAAACTGATTGAACAATTATACATGACAATAAGTGTTAATAAATGGTTCTGCCATTTAAGACCAAGTCTCTATGAACAGGCTAGGGGCCCTTCCTATTGCCCAACATTTTATAGATGACTTAAATAGAGTCAGAGAAAATAACTTGGATATCAAATTTCATAGATTATGGAACACAGGCTACTGCCAGGGATTTTTGTTTTGTTTTGTTTTTTTAAAAAATCAATCAGTCCATGAAATTCAGCATCTACTATCACAAAGTACTCTTGGGGTTTTGGAAAATCTATAAAATGTGAGGATATAAAGTAAGGAAATGTTCCCATGGGCCACCCATAAAAAGCAGCCATTACTTCATTGTTGCCTCATGTAAATAATCACGTGGATGAAGAGGAAGGACGGGGGAGCGGGTGACACTGGCCCTCCCATGGAGGTGACAGTGCTAACTGACCTACCCAGGGAGCTTTATGTCCTGAATTATTCCTGTAGTGGTACTTGTGTGTTTAAATCAATCCATTTCCCTTGGCCCCAGGGAGTCAATAGCGCAGCATCTATTATAGATCAAGGCCTGGGGTGAAGGAACATAATCTTCTTGAGATTCTTCCGCTCCCCACCCTTCTCAGCACGTTCTGGTTTTCCTCCAAGTGAGACATAACGGGGCCACATATTAACTCTGGTAGTTGCATCATTGGCAGGGGCCTGAGGGGAAGAGTGTTTACTTAACTCCAGGCCAGAGAGTGGCCGCCTGCTCTCTATCATCCATCACAGGAAGGCAGCAAAGGGAGTTTCTTCACCGTGACTGAACTTCACCCTCTTCTAGTTCAGCCTTTTGCCAGTATCCTGTACAATAAGAGGGAGAAAGAATACATCAGTAAAAGTCAGAATGATGGGTAGTATTTGCTGAGTTCTCATAATGTGTCCATGTTATGCTTTATAACAAGTGTCTCAGTTCTAAAATGAAACACATTTAAAAAGTTCTTACTCTTATTCTTCCCCAGTGGGGAAACCGAGTCTCCAAGGGGTTAAATCTCTTGCCCAAAGCCTCATAGCCAGTAACTATTAAAGGCAGACTTCAGACCCAGGTCAGTCTGGCTCCAGAGTCTTGTCTCAACCACTCTGTTTTACCACCCAGTGTTAGTAGCCAACAAAGAAAACAGTGCTCTAGGAACACTGTCAAGAGTTTATTGAAAGAATTCCCAAGAACTTAGATCAGATGAACATTGAGCCCCGTGAACCTTCCATTAGAAGATGACTGAGTATTTCCAACATGAGAAAAAAAAAGATTCTCTTGGTAAAGACTGGACTAGGTTCCTGTGTTACAAGATTATAAAGAGCTAAATTCGAGGGCTGAAAAACCTGAAAGGTTTTAATTCGGTAAGAGCTCTCATTCCAGCAGTGGGAAAAATAGTTATGCCATCTGGGGATTACGAATAAATTGTGCCGTTGCCCGGAGTGGACATAAACAATCATTTTTGGACATAAGAAAATTCTTAGATCTTCCAAAAAGAATTACGCAGTACTCCAGAGGAGGTTTCACTTATAAATTGAACATCAAACATATCCAGACACCATGAACATGGACTTGATTTGATTTACAGTTTTTGCCTCACTGTTTAGAGGTGTATCTCAATTTGCCTTTGCTTTTTCTTTAGATTTGGACAACTGAGCAAGGCACCAAACCTATCACTACAGACTATTTTTTGATGGAAGAAAAGTATTTTATATCTAAAGAAAAGAACGAATGCAGGAAACAGCCATTCCAGAGAGCCATTGGTCCCGAAGAAGAGATCATGCAGATTTTAAGCAGCTGGTTTCCAGAAGAGGGATACGTTGGCAGGATTGTCTTAAAAACCCAGCAGGAAGTAAGTGTGTCCAGGAGCAGCTCACACAGTAATAGCTCGGTATCAGATTAACCATCTCACCATTCACCACCCCCATCAAATTTAGAATTTCCTGTAATTCCAACTCAGCCTATGTTATGGTTCTTACGTAAATGTTGAGAAATGATTTTATTCAGAGGGTTATCTCTAAGTTACAGAAATTCAGTCTAAAAATCATCACTTATTAAATCAAGGGAGCAAGAATTTTAAGAATTATAATTCCATATATATGTCATCAGCTGTGGGTCCAGTATTTTATTTATATGTGTGAAAAGACATCGTTGTGAGGGTCACGTTACTGTGGAAACCAAAAAACCAAACCCATTGCCGTTGGGTCGATTCCGACTCATAGCGGCCCTACAGGACAGAGTAGAACTGCCCCATAGGGTTTCTAAGGAGCCACTGGTGGATTCAAACTGCAGACCTTTTGGTTAGCAGCCAAGCTGTTAACCACTGAGCCACCAGGGCTCCTATTGTATGAAGCAAGGCCCATCTAGGTATTTTATGTTTTGGAGTTCATGTGCTTTCCTGTTAGTACCAATTTAAATCATAACTAATAAAAGGTTCTGTGCTTACAAACAAAACAACAGTATTTCTTTGGAAATATCCTATAACTTCATACAAAGTAAGAATCATCTCTCTATCTAGGTCAGAATTAATAAAAATTTACATTATGTGTGCTAATATTTCCACTGGAGGATCCCTGGTGGCATGGTGGTTAAGCATGCAGCTGCTAGCCAAAAGGTCGGCAGTTCAAACCCATCAGCTGCTCTGTGGGAGAAAGATATTGCAGTCTGCTCCCGTAAAGATTACAGCCTTGGAAACCCTACGGGGGCAGTTCTACTCTGTCCTATGGGGTCGCTATGAGCCAGAATTGAGTCATGGCAATGGGTTTGGTTTTTGTGGGATATTTCCATGCTCATTCCCATGAAGGAAACAGTCCAACAACTGCCATGTTGGCTCCTGATTGGTTGGCTCGTTTTTGACCTTGCAGATGGAGCACCATTGGTTTTGTTGGTTTGTTTGTTTCAGAATAAATGGATAAGAGCCCACCAACTTAACACTGCCATTTCTTAAAGTGACATATCAGGTCATTGCTCCAGCAGAGAAATAATGCCTCATCAGATGCCATTAAGGAGACAGTTGAGTCACTTCAACAATTTGATTAAACAAATATTTTTTGAGCACCTAACACATACCAGGCCCTGTTCTGGGCACTTGATCTGCTCCTTTTGGGCATTTCCTGTAATAGAGCTTACCTGGTAAAAGGCCCACTGGTTGTCCATGCTGGCTGGGGCACAGTGGAGCTGATAGAGAGCCAATTTTTGCCATCTACTTTTCGTGAACATGGCTTGCAACCTCTACAAAACTCCAACATCTCCTCTGGGAACCAGAGTCACTGCCTTCCTTCCCTAACCTTACCTCAGGCCATAAAAAGACACTTAATTGAGGCAAAGAAGTGTAATTGTCTCTCCAGCCTCCCCTCCCTATCAGATATACAGATTGCTAAGATGGAGAACAAGCAGTTCTAATAACAGTCACTTTATAGGAAAATGGCAGATGGCTTTGTTGGACACTTGAAGCCATCCTTAACGTCTCTCTAACTTTTTTTCCCTATTTCTAATTGTCTTACCTCATTAATTGTTGTTGTTGAGCCAATTCCACCACCAGAGTTCCTTACCTCATTCATTAGCTACATGTAAAAACTATCCTCTGAATGACAATGAAGGAGCCCTGGTGGTGCAGTGGTTAAGCTTGGCTGCTAACAGAAAAGTCAGCTGTTCTAACCCACCAGCTGCTCCACAGGAGAAAAGACCTGGCGATCTGCTCCCATAAAGATGACAGCCTAGGAAACCCTGTGGGGCAGTTCTCCTTTGTCCTGTAGGGTGACTATGAGTCGGAATGGACTCGACAGCTCACAATAAGTGACAATGTTGGTGAATAAGTACATTTTTAAATCATATTTGCATAATGATTTACAGTGTTTAAAGCTCTCAAACACCTACTATTTTTGAATGGTCCCGTGATGGAGTCAAAACCATTTCACACATTAGGAAACTGAGGTTCAGGGGTTAAATCATGGCAGAGTCAGAAGCAGAAAGAACTCAAGTCCTTGAGCCATCATCAGTGTTCTTCCACCAGCCCCTACTGCACAGGCTGGAGCTATGTCAGTCCTCAAGGGGAACTGTGAGAGGCTGGGGGAGGAGTGAGCTGGAGAAAAGATGGACTAGCTGTTGGGTGTCACTAATATGGTTTATATTAGTTTCTTAGGCTGCTGTAACATACTACCTCAAATTGGATGGCTTAAAACAACAGAAATTTATTCTCTCATACTTCTGGAAGCTAGAAGTCCAAATTCAGGGTGTTAACAGGGCCATGCATGCGCTCTCCAAGGCTGTAGCTTCATTGTCTCTTCCAGTTTCTGGTAGCTAGAGGCGTTCCTTGGCTTGGGGCAGCATAACTCCAATCTCTGCCTCTGTCTTCACCTAGCTGTCTTCCTTGTGTGTTTCTTCTCCTCTTAAAAAGATTCCATTGTGGAATCGAGTCAATTCCACCTCATTGCGACCGTATAGCACAGAGGAGAACTGCCCCGTAGGGTTTCCAAGGCTGTAATCTTTATGGAAACTGACTGCCGCATCTTTCTCCCGCAGAACAGCTGGTGGGTTCAAACAGCTGACTTTCGGTTAGCAGGCGAGCACTTAACCACTTTGCCACCAGGGCACCGCCTTCTTATAAGGATACCGGTCATAAAGAGATTAGGTCCTGCCCACCCAAACAACCTCATGTAAACTAATTACATTGGCAATGACCCTATTTCCAAATAAGGTCACATTCACAAGTACCAGAAGTTAGGGCTTGAACATATCCTTTTGGGGGACATAGTTCAGCCCACAACACGGTTGGAAGGACTGAGGAGGTTAGTAATGCCCATATGCAATTTAAAGTGTATATGACAGCAGGCAGTAGAGACCTCAGGAGTAGATGCTTAGTAAAGGCTGGTGGAAGAGAAAGCATTCTGAAGAAAAACCAAAAAAAACCCACATTGTTGTCGAGTCAATTCTGACTCCGACCCTATAGGACAGAGTAGAACTGCTACATAGCGTTTCCAAGGAGTGGTTGGTGGATTCAAACTTCCAACCTTTTGGTTAGCAGCCTGAGCTTTTGGGGGAAAAGTATGGAGGGAAGGCTAGCAAGAGTTTTCTGACAGGTAGAATACAGCAAGTTCTCCATTATGTGCCGTTGTTGGGAGGAGATTTTTGAAATAACTGAAATATATCTCAAAAGATAACAAACCACATTTAACGTATCTAGGTTTAGAATAAGAATTTCCGGATTGAATAAATGAATTCAGCAATTATTGAATACAAGAGGGCACTATCATAGTGGAGACTGGGCTATAAGCTTTTCCATTTATTTTATTCTGTCGACCTAGTAAGATTTGTAAGTAGTTTGCCCATATATTAAAAGCCCCCAAATTGCTATCTGTGACCTCTGATGTCTCCTGCCTGCCTTTTATAACTGTCTTTATCTCCAGGCTGTCAGTGCTTCTTCCTCTGGCAGCTACTGGATTTGAAATCAGACAAACCTGGCTCTGTCCCTAATTAGATGACCTTGGTTGGGCAGGTCATCTAAAGTCTGTAAGCTTCAGTGCCCTCATTTGTAAAATCTCTAATAAAAACTAAGGAGCACTGGTGGTGCTGTGGTTAAGCGCCCTTAAAAGTAATGCCTAGCGCATGGGTGTCAGGATATTTTAATTAGCTACTTAGAACCTTTTTCGTTTTGTTTTTTCTTGCCTGATTCTTGATTTCCAGAGTGTTGAGATTATAAATTGTCATGTTATTATCCCCCAACTCTTTGACTGCTTAATATCTCATCGATCATTGAGATGATCAATACATATTAGCACTGTTTCTGTGACCTGATCTGAGGAGATGATCAATGCAATAACATATTATGCAGCCAGATCATATTATGCAGTTAGATTTCTAGGAAGTGGCATGAAATAATGACTGTAGTCTTTTAAGTGTGGGGAGAAAAGAAGTTGTAATAAAATCTCATTTTGTGAAATAAAAATAGGCAACAACTTTCCCTCCATAATATAATGAATGGGGTCCAAAAAATTCAGTGATGTAAATTGTTGGTCCCATGACTGAAAGGTTAATGATATGATTGGGGCAAGCCTGTGTAGCTGACTGGCAAGAAGCTCTAGGAACCAGTTCTTTCTGATCCTTGTTGCAGTTTGGCGCCACCTGGTGGCAGTTAGTCATTCTGACTTTAATATCAATGGGGACAATTCTGGATCCTGTGGCTTCGTTAGCACTGTTTCAGTGACCTGATCCGAGGAGATTAGGCTAGGAGAATGCTGGGGACCTTTCTGCCAAATTCTCACTTCCTGAGATGGGGTTGCCTACTGTTTATTTGCCTGGCATCTCTCTTCCATGTTCCCCCTTGCAGAAGATCATTTTAAGCTACCCTCATTTGGTAATGAGGGCTGAGAAAAACACAGGAGCCACTTGGCAATCATGTTATATCTAAATTCAAATAGTTCCAGGGTTTTATTGTATATATATATATATATATATATATATATATATATATTTTATAATACATAGCAAATGTCTAAAAGGATATATAACCTAACAACAGTGGGTTTTGTGGAGAATGCAGTGGGACAGAAAATGAAAAAAAGAAGAGAACGAGAAAATTTTGCTTTTTTATTGATATATTTCTGTACACTTTGAAAATTTTTACTCACAATTTTTTTTAACATAGAACCAAGAAGAGAAGAGTGTTGTTCAAGACGACAGAGAGGTGACCTTCAGCTCAGAGGAGGAGAGTTTCTTTGTCCAAGTGCATGACGTTTCTCCAGAGCAACCTCGAACCGTCATCAAAGCACCCCGTGTCAGCACTGCACAGGATGTCATTCAGCAGGTAAAGGTCTCTCCCTTTCCTACCTCGTTCCTTTCCTAGGTCTAAATTATTGGGACAAATCAGATGTCTATGCATGGTAATTCATTTTATGAATGAAGTTCTAGAAGAGTGGGGTCCAGAGAAAGTAAGAGTGTGCCTCTTAGAGGCTGGGAAATATTAATTCATTCCTTCAACAGATACTTACCTAGTGCCTACTATGAGTCAAAGGACTCCCTGGCTGATGCACAGAGTTAAGCAATCGGCTACTAACAGAAAGACTGGCAGCTTGAACCAACCCAGAGACACCTCAGATGAAAGGCCTGGTGATCTGCTTCCAAAAGGTCACAGCCTTGAAAACCTTATAGAGCAGTTCTCCTCTGCAACACATGGGGTCACCATGAGTCAGAATCAACTCAGGCAGCTGGTTTGGTTTTGGTTTACTGTAAGTCAGGTTCTGTATGAAGTCTTGATAATAATGAATTTACATGACTCTGCAGAGTAGTAGTTTCATCATCCCAGAAGTGCTTAGATCAAGACTCAATGACCATCTCTCAAGGATTCTACAGAGGACATACAAACGGCCTCTTCCCTCCTCTAGGTCATGCTTCTTTGTTTACATGATTTCAGAGAAATATGTTTCCTTCCTTCATAACCTTGTCATGGTTTACATTCATAAAACATTCATTTTGAGAAGTAATATCTTGTAATGGTTAAGAGCACCAACCCCACATCAAATTGCTCAGAGTTCAAAGCCCGGCTCTACTTCTTATTAACTCTGAGATCTTCGGCAAGTTATTGAACCACTTTGTGCCTCAGTTACGGTAGTATACTGGTAAGCTGTCACTCTAGGGGAAGAAAAAAGCCCTGATTTGTAGCGTTTGCCAATTTCTGAGGTGTAAATACTTCCACCATGGCTGATTTCACTAGCCTGTTCCAGCTGGCTTCATATCACCACTTTATGATGCTACTGCATAGATAACATGGAGATAATAATAGTACTTTCTTCACTGGGTTGTTATATGGATTAATATATGTAAGCTGTTTAGCACAGTGCCTGGCACATGGTAAGCACTGTTTAAGTGCTATTTGTTATTCTTATTCCATGATCATTTGGTTAATATTAGTTACCTCAATAAACTTTGAACTCCAAGAGCACCCAGACTTATGTCTCTTTTATTCACCTTTGTCTCCCAAAGTTAAGCACATTTGATGAATGAATAAATGCATAAATGAAAAATATTTTTGCATTATATGAGAGGTGAGACCAGATAACTTCTAAAAGTCCTTCAAATCCAAGAGTTTATGATGAAAAGGCAGCCTAGTGGGGCAGGGAGGCTGCCAGAACCAGGATTCTGCCGCTCACTGGCTCTAGGACCTTTGTGTTTATGGTCCTTTGTGCATGCAGAAAATCGGGCTCAAGTCCTTGTTCTGTTACTTACTAGCTATGTATCCTCTGGAATTTGCTTAAGCTCTAGAAGCTTAAGCTTCATCTGAAAATGGGGATAATAATACCTAAATCATGGGCTGTTGTGAAGCTAAATGAACTAACGGGGAAGTACATGGTAAGCTGCAACTACACAAATGGAAAATGAGGAGTTGGATGACATGATTTGGAAGATCCCCTCCATCTCTGAAAGTCTGTGGTTTTTTCCACCTGAAAATTTAACTCAAAATGAATGCAAGCATTGGGGATACTGATTCTTTATTCAGTTGATCATAACTTACTTTTCAGACCCTATGCAAAGCCAGATATTCCTACAGCATTCTGAGCAACCCCAACCCAAGTGACTATGTACTAATGGAAGAGGTGGTGAAAGACCCTACCAACAAGAAGTCTTCTACCCCAAAGTCCTCTCAGCGGGTTCTTTTGGATCAGGAGTGTGTGTTCCAAGCCCAAAGCAAGTGGAAAGGTGCAGGAAAATTCATCCTTAAGCTAAAGGAGCAAGTGCAGGTAAACACAAATTATTTGATAGACATAATCACATTATAATCACATTTGGGAGGAGAAAGTTCCTGAGTCAAAGAATTTAGTTGGGAGAAAGGATTAGGTTGGCTTTGTTGTCACTGTGTGAAAAGAAATGCATTCCCTCTGTGGTTAAACAGTCCTGAGAGAGAAGCCCCACAGCCCTTCATTCCAAAGCTCTATTTACCAGAGAGGAAAGAGGGAAAGGGCTCTTTCTGATAGTGTCACGGGATTGGGGTCCCTGAGTTTAACCTGCTACCAGTGGAAGGTTCTTTTTCTCTACAGGCATCCCGAGAAGATAAAAGGAAAGGCATTTCTTTTGCAAGTGAACTCAAGAAGCTCACTAAGTCAACGAAACAGCCCCGAGGACTCACATCACCTTCTCAGCTCTTGGCCTCAGAAGGTGTCCAGAACAAGGAGGAGAAACCTGTGGGCAGCTTGTCCTCAAGTGACGTGATGGACTATCGGCAGTGACCAAGGGCAGCGTGTGTCACCCAGGTATACTAGGTCATTGCAGCATTCTGAAGCACGGCTTAACTTAAACTACTTTGTAAGGCATGGTTTGTACAGTATCTTTTGTCTTTTCTAAGAAGAGAAAGTTCTCTGAAGGCATGTAGGAATGGTACCTTAAAACAGGAAAAGGGCTCTAAAGATATATGTATTTTAACCTTGCCATTTATAATTTAGAGCCCCTTATTTTGTAGATGACTAAACTAAAGCCCTAAGGGGGCAACCAACTTGCCTATAGAACCACAATAGCCCGAACAGAATGTCGTTATTATTGTTAGCTGCTATTGACTCAGCCTCCAACTCATGCCGACCCCATGCACCAGGGAACAGAACACTGCCCAGTCCTGCACCATCCCCATGATCAGTTGCAGGTTGGACCATTCCAGTCCATAAGGTTTTCACTGGTTGATTTTCAGAAGCAGATTGTCAGGCCTTTCTTCCTAGACTGTTTTAGTCTGGAAGCTCCACTGAAACCTGTTCATCATCATGGCAGCATGCAAGCCTCCCCTGTCAGATAGGTGGTGGCTGGCATGAGATGAACTGGCCAGGAATAACTTACCTTTCAGACCCTATGCAAACTTAATTAATTATGTTTGCATAATTAAGCCCTCTTAATTATTGGTAACTCACGTGAACATTCTTGAAGGGCTGCTGTGAATCATTCAGATTTTATTCCTTTTAGATTCCTAGTTTTATACTGTTCTAGTTAGGTTTGATTTCATCTTAATGATCTCATCTTCTGCCTCAATTAAATAAATGAATGAATGAATCTGGCATCCAGGATGTAATAGTTAAAAAGAAAGCAAAATAATTAACTACCTTCATCCTGAAACTGCAGTAAATGTGGGGCTTCAGTTGTCAGCCCACTGCTTGGTGTTCAAATACAGAGTAAATTTCATTCTATCTTGAAGCACATTATTTATATGAGACCTGAATAAAAGTATGTGTGGGAGCGAAACAGAGGTCTCTGCTTTTCACTTAGTTTTTAAGGAACCCAGGGGATTATTAAGGCCCACTTTTCACGTATACTGTTGTATTTCTCCTATTTCAAATTCAGAAGAGAACAACAGCTTAGGGAAGCCATTACTGCTCATACTGCGTGCTACGGCTGCTAACCAAAAGGCTGGCAGTTTGAATCCACCAGGCAATCCTTGGAAACTCTATGGGGCAGTTCTACTCTGTCCTATAGGGTCGCTATGAGTCGGTATCAACTCCATGGCAACAGGTTTGGGTTTTTTTAATTATTGCAAAATTGCCAAAGCTCACAATTGAAAAGTCCACTGATACCTCTTGACAGAGTCAAATTTGATTTATAACAGCCCGCAAGAAGGCCCATCATGAGACCTCCTTTCTACATTTAAGGAGCAACTCCTAATATACTTGATGCCCCCTACTACCCTTGCAAGGAGCCCTGGTGGCTCAGTGGTTAAAAGCTACAGCTGTTAACCAAAAGTCTGCAGTTCAAATCCACCAGCCGCTCCTGGAAACCCTGTGGGGCAGTTCTACTCTGTCCTATAGGGTCACCTGAGTCAGTATCAACTCAATGGCAACAAGTCTGTTTTTTTTTTTTACACTTGCAAACCTCTTTCCAAACAACAGACAAGCCCAAATACAGGAAACTTCCTCCTCCAGAATATCTGCATATCCAGCTATTCCAAGAAATTCAAGGTTGTTTAGGTTCTGTATGCAAAGACCTATGAGAAAGAAATTCTGAAACTGTGGCAGCAGTTCACATCACATAGCATCAAACAGTGAGTCTGTACAGAGTAGTGAGGCTCTGGGCTGTACCAGACTCTGAGAGGGTTCAGTACCCATTTTCTGTTGAAATATGTCTGGTATCCAAGACTCACCTTTTCTGTCCCAGTGTTACTGAGACAATCAGTACTTCCTCGAAAAGTCAAGTAAGCCATAGAACTAGCCACCAACGTTGAGCCTCTCCAATTTATAGAAATGACCCCCCATAGTAGTAGATCTGTAGGCATGCCATGAAAATAGTGATCAAAATTTTAAATACTTATTTCCATATCAAGAACCTAGCATCAAATAAATCATAGTTGTGATAACATTATATACATCTCTGTATTAATCATAGGTGTGATAACATTATACACACCTCTATATTATAACCTCTGTAATGATATAAAATGGAGCCCTGGTGGCACAGTAGTTAAGAACTTGGCTGCTAACCAAGAGGTTAGCAGTTCAAATCCACCCACTGCTCCTTGGAAACCCTATGGGACAGCTGTACTCTGTCCTATAGGGTCACTATGAGTTGGAATCGACTCAGACGGCAATGGGTTTTTACAATGATATAAAAGGAACCGGGGAGCCCCAGTGGTTAAGTGCTCAGCTGCTAACTGAAAGGTTGGTGGTTTGAACCCACCCAGCAGCTCCACAGGAGAAAGACCTGGCAATCTGCTTCTGTAAAGATTACAGCCTAGGAAACCCTCTGGGGCAGTTCTGCTCTGTCACATGGGGTTGCTATGAGTCAAAGTCAACTCAAGGGTACCTAACAAACATAATGATATAAATAATGAAATTACACTACGGCTAATGCTCTACATGTAAGGAGCCCTCAGTGTGGTACAAGATCACATTAAGTACTTAAAGAAATACAACTCCATTAGAAATTTGACTTACAAAGAATATACTGGTTATAATGAACATAACTAATTTCTTGTATTTTAGGAGAGTTGGGAAGCGTAGTGGTGATTTTGATGATTGTCTTTGAATTCAGTTTTCCTGTAGCAAGCAGACATTCAGAATCATTCAGTTGACCTCACAGCTGAAGTTGGAGAGGCTTCTCTTTAAAAATAGGCATTGGTGTATATACGGGAAAACACATACCTCATACCTCCTTTACAAAGGAGCCCTGGTGGCACAGTGGTTAAGCACTTGGCTGCTAATCAAAAGGTCAGCAGTTCAAATCCACCAGCAGGAAAAATCCACCGCAGGAGAAAGATGTGGCAGTCTTCTTCCCTAAAGATTAGTCTTGGAAACCCTATCGGGTAGTTCTCCTCTGTCCTATAGGGTCGCTGAATCAGACTTGACTCGACGGCAATGTTATCTCCCTTACCTTGGTGTTTACAAGAAAGAGTGCTTTGTGAAAAAGGGCCTTTCTGTATATGCTCTTATGAGAACAAGTTTAGTATTTTTACTGCTTTCTGGGTGATAGATTTCATATTATTTGTTCTAAAATGATCACTTCTAAAGTTTCAAGGTTATCCTTTAGTAATAATCTAAAGTTTTCTAAACAAGTATTTACCTTACTCATATCTGAACAGATATAAAGATTTCTTCCTTAAAGTTGAACAGTTTAATGTGCTATTAAAAAAATCTAATAGAACTTTCTAAAGAATGCAGTGTTCCAGGGCAGAAACAGCCTAATGTCGTAGCTCCTAGGAACATCATGTTCTAACCTCGTGAGTTCACGGGACAGAGTCTCCGCCCAAGTCCAGCCACCAGAGCAGTGGGTTTCTGTTGGCTGAATTACCCTGAACCCTTATTACACTGTGAATGTCTCTGTTCTTATTTTAAATATGCTAACAAGCATATATGTACATTACAGGTAAAGATCTTTTGGCAAGAAGAAAGAACATGGTGAAAATGAATTTCCTTATTTTCAATAGACTTAAAACTGGAAATTGATGCTTTCAGAACTGAAGCCTTCTTCACAGATGATGTGAGGTCCATGTTGTGGATAAGCAGAATGGCACAGGGCTAGCTCCCAACCAATTTACTCATGAATGACATCAAAGAAGTCCAGGGGGGCTGCCATTTCACAAGTGCCAACCGTCTGAAAAACCACTGCAGAGCTTACAATAACCGACTTAGAACAAGGGACAGCAAATTTTATCTGTAAAGGGCCAGACAGTAAATATTTTAGGCTTTGGGGGCCATATGGTCTGTCACCATTCTACTCTGCAAAAGCAGCCATAGATGATAGTATATACATGAATGAGCATGGCTGTGTTCCAATAAAACTTTATGGACACTGAAATTTGAATTTCATATAATTTTCACGTGTCATAAATACTCTTCTTTAGATTTATTTTCAACCATTTAAAACTGTAAAAACTATTCTCAGCTCAAGGGCCATACAAAAACAGGTGGCAGGCTGGATTTGGCTTGAGGGCCATAGTTTGCCCAACCCTAACCTAGAGGACTGGGAACAAGAAACACAGTGGTCTGAAAACAAGAAAGCTTTTTGGCCATACATTTTATGGCTGATAATTGGAAGATTTTGGGCATTGCAGATGTAAATATGTCCTATAACCTAAGACTCATATTGAAATCAAATTTAGTTTCTATATTGTGTACCAGAGTGCACTCTTCTTTTAAATTTAAGTGTAGAATGATTTTTTTTTTTAAAGTTTATTGCGTATATATTCACAGATTATTCCGTTTTTGGTTTTCACAAAATGAATCTAGAATGATGTACAATATCTACTGAGTTGTGACGTCTTAACAAGGAACTTAACCATTTTTTTAAAAGCAAAAGTAGATAGTTTGTGTTTAAATTTATTTATTTTATTGAAGCAAGGTTTGTACTGACACTGTACTTATACATTTATTATACATAGCTTTCTTGACATTGCTTATGAATTAGAGGCATTAGTGGTTTTATCTATTTGAAGGCAAATCTTCTGAAAAGAAAATGTATGCTCTTAACATCTGAAATGGGACAGCATTTTATGTACAAAGGCTTCATCTTCATTTCTGATTAACTTGTTGATCCAAGTCATACTCACCATTCAATGTAAATTATTTTTTAAATCTTGCTGTATTAAACTATCAAATAAGTGTAAAGGAGTCTTCTTATTCTTGGCATGAAGCAAATTATGGCTTTTTAAAATGAAATATCTGTTTCTATAAAGTAAAATCCAAACTTTTATCTTCCCATTGATATCATTAAAATTACAAAACACACTAAAAATCCTAACCTTCACTTTGAGAAAAAAATTTTTTCTTTTAAACCAAGGGTAAAAGTGAATAAATCAATCCCCATGGTCTTTCCATGTTCTAAAAATAGAAGTGTTAAAAATACACCACACAGACTCTCCATGTTCTTAGTGACCCAGACCCTCAATGCTACAACTACCATTTGCTTGTGGGCAGAATTCAGGCTATTTCAGTGTAATGGAGCTTGTACAGCACTACAAGTTCCTTTTTAAATCAAATAGTCTATAACAAAGGCACAATGCTACCCCAGTTTTAAAAATATTCTGAAACACTTTATCAAGCCTCTGTAGACTAATAGGTGCTTATTTCTCTGGTTTGGCTAACCATATGTTGAAGGCTGAGTTGCTGGCCTAACTGGCTAGAGTCAAAATGAACACTGTGCAAAGTAATGAGATTAAAAGCAAGACCGGTCTCTTCAGGTTTATTATTTGGCATTGACTAAACTCCCCCATCCCCACAGCTGCAGATTTGGCTGCAGCACACATCTGAAACTTACCATGAGACTAGGTTGTTTAGCAGGTGAGTAAACCCAGCCGATTACCTATGATGCAACCCAACTTGTTGTTCATCACATTTTGAGGTGAAAAAAATGTACTCTTGTATTCGAGTCTTTGAGATTTTAGGAAGGACACATTGCTCAAAAATGCAAAGGGTCTGTTTACATTACAACTGACCCACACAACCTGGCGTTTGCCAAAAATATGAAATTTTTATTTAATGCTTTTCTGAATTATGCAGCTATAACATAGCAAATATTATCCTTTGTTATGCATCTGAAATAGCCACCAGGATTATATACCCACTACCATTTCATACTTCTCACACTACTAGAAATCTTAGTTAACTCTTATCAGTAAAGTTTATATGGAAAAGAGTTTAAATACACAAACCGAGTTCATTACAAGATTTTCAGGACAAATATTTTTAAAAGCTTCACTAAAAGCAAAAAAGGGGCACAAGTTCTATCACTCTGTTAGGTGATGTCAACTTTTAAAACTATAGCTGGCAAGTAAGCATTAAAGTAAGAATCCAATGTGATGTGTGCTGCTGGAATCGGATTACACAAGGATGTTAGGAAATTGGGTTAACTAACTTTGGGGATAAATCTGTAGGAAGTAATGATACTATCTAGGCAAAAGGTGCCTCTTGACGTAATGCCTCTTTTCACGTCATCCTTTGAAAGTAGAAGTTGTTAATACATCCTTCAGTTGAGGATAAATATCAGGTAGTCTAGATTCAACAAAAGTTACAAGGGCCTTGTTTTAATCAAACTTGCTTTCATACCAAGACTTCCCATCTCCATGGCTCTGGAGATACTGGAGGCTCATTAATGAAAGAGGGTCTCTCCTACCATATGTACCAGCTTCTTTTTTTTTTTTTAACCACCTCCCCTTCCAATATTTCTGTAGATCTCTTCTTCCCAGACACATAACAACCAAACCAAACCCGTTGCCACTGAGTTGATTCCGACTCACAGCGACCCCATAGGACAGAGCAGAACTGCTCCAGAGGGTTTCCAAGGAATGGCTGGTGGATTCGAACTGCTGACCTTTTGGTTAGCAGCCGACTTCTTAACCACTGTGCCACCAGGGCTCCAGACACCTAAAACCAAACCAAACCTGCTACCATCAAGTAGATTCTGACTCAGAGAGACCCCATAGGGTCTCCTAGGCTGTAAATCTCGACAGAAGCAAACTGCCACATCTTTCTCCCACAGAGCCTCTGGTGGTTTCGAATTGCTGACCTTCTGGTTAGCAGTCAATAGCTTCCTTCCAGACACCTAAAGACCTCGCTTATCTTAAAGGTAATCAAGCCTTGCTCACTAGTCCAGTAAAATTGAGCTGACTCTAAAACAGAGCTCCACGACTATGCCCCATGCCAATAAAAAGGAGGGTGTTCCTAGCTGGTCTCTTTGGTCCATACTTGGGTCAACATTTCCATCATACAGTACATTGTTTATAATTTATGTGTTCTCTGCCTTATCTCTACCAACTTCCTAAAAGCCAAACTTGGATGAGGAATAAAGATTTTGACATAACACCTGCATCTCTATGACCAAGCTATTTTCATCCGTCACTGAGATCTAAAATTATTGTATTTAAGTCTGCCACCAAGCAGACCTCTGAAACACTCCCTATTTCAGATGACATAGGTCCTTGAACTTTCAGAAACAATTCATTCTTACACTGTTTTAAAGTTTTGTGTGAATGATTTGACTCAGAACGAAAAAATGTGTCTTACACCTGTCATTACCCCTGCACCACTTTTAAGTGCCTAGCACAGTGCTAAGCACATAGTAGGTGCCCAATATTTATTTAAAATAAAAATTAAGGCTCTAGTTTAGTGGAGCCTCAAGGTATGTGTGTATTATCATTAATGATTACATTAGTTACTTCTGAAAATAAAATTCATCGATATTATAAGGTTGTGTAAATGCACAAATGTGTTTCATCCTCAAATTCATATAGGATATTCAAATTACTACTGGATGTATTATTTTACAGCTCCAATATGCACACTGAGAAAGTTAAAAGCATAATAGAAGCCTGAAATAGCTGGTGAATTTCCATTTTAAAACTGATTTTTCACCTGAACTGCAGTTTCCTGTGCCGAACTGATGTATAAATGTATGTTTGGAAAAGAAATGATTTGTGACATGTGTTGGTCACTTGTGCTCTAGTGCGGACAGACCCTGGTCATCCACACAATAATTTATAACACTCCTGGACTTTGCTTTAGATCTGAAAGGTGGCTTCACAGCAAGTATTTATATACTGAATCATACATTCTCATTACTAAACAAATAATCAAAAGTAAAAATATCTGACCTCAGAGAACACTTTTTAAAATCACATATAAAAATATGCTAGAAGATTAACATGCACTATTAAGCTGATATCCCTAACTTTGCTAGAATAGTAAAGGGGTGGGGGTAAGGGTGGGGCAACTCTAAACTCCAGACCCAAATCACTGACTTCTATGGCTTTGAAACAATAAGAGATCAATTTAGTTGGGCTGTTGAGCTTTTGTTTTTTTAAATTTCTCACATTCCAAGAACAGGAGGCAAAAAAAAGTAGCTGTTTTATTCAACTGTTGACACTAGAGAATATTTATAACCAGGTCATCAAAATACTTATTTCACAAGCCATTCCTAGAATATAGGAATAGCTGTTATATAAAATGCTGCTTTATAATTATATTCATAATAGGCATTTTACCTACAAAAAAAAAAAAGAAGAAAAAAAGCCCCTCACTGGTTACCTTTTGTCCCTAAACCGAACAGTGAAAGTCACAGACTTTGTTTTTCACAATGGAGCAATCCTTCCCCCATCACCCTCCAGAGCATGTCAGAAAACTTAAAGTACTTCAAAGAGACTAGCATCACACTCACTTTCTTTCAAAGTAGCCAAAATGAACACTCACCCAGCAAGAACCAATGAATCTGGTGTCAAATTTCAAGCTATTTTCTCTTTTTCCAAAAATCTTCATAAAAATACATTCACTCAAATTTAAAATGTTTCTCACTTCCATCTATAGTGTTACAATAAAAATAAAAGATCTGGTTATGAAAAGTAGCTGAATGGTAAAAAGCATTCTCATGGTCTCGTTTTTTCTGTACCCTGATTTTAACCCAACAAATGCATGTCAACCAGACTCAGTTCCAAAAAAATTATAACTTAACATGTAGTTTTTAAAAGGCAGCATCACTGAGAAAGAAATTTCAAAATATTTGAGGAAAAAGGCTTTCAATTCTCCTTTCTTAATGATGACATTTACAGAATTAGGGCAGGACCCTGTGCCATGCAGAGTAACACTTCCTCTTCTGTTATTTGTTCTCAGAAAGTTTCCCTTGTAAAAAAAAGCTCCTAAGTTAATAACATATCTATATGTGTGCCTTCACAAACACACAAATACACAAAAAAATCCAGGGATTCTTCATTCTTTCACTACCGTAGCGACGTTTCCAAGTATTTGGTGAAATCCAGAGGAATCTGAGTAGCAGTTTCATTGCAACATCTTTTGATTAGTTGATTTAAATCTTCATTCAAAAACAAATCCCCCTGTAAAACTTTATCCTGGAAAAATATTAAAAGATAAGTTAAAAGTTACATATGCCATAACAGAATGCCAAGCTGTAGGCAAAGCTGAAAGTGGCAACCACTGACACCAATGCATGAAACATAACAGCAGATGCTCATTCAGGTCTCGGACACGTCCTAAATTTAATGAGATAGTCTCATAATCGTCTCTACAGAATTCCAACCCCAGAGAGCCATCATACAATCAACTTCTAGATATGAAAGAGAGAAAAAAAAACTAAGAAGACTGGAGTTAGTTTTTAAGAGACATTTAGTTTTTCTTCTTTCAAAAAAATAAAAGGTTTTACATACCTTCCTTTTGGAATTTGAAGATGCAACAGGAGGATTAAATGTCATTGCTGCCATGCTGTAAGTCTCAAAAAGTTCAGCAGCAGTTCTGTAATCACAAATATAAAAAATGTCAAGAACCATCAATACCTATATGACTTGGAAATAATAAGAGATTACCCCCAAAGAATGACTCATTATTCTAAACACACATATTAAGGTATAACATAATCCTGCTTTTGAAACCAATCAACTATCTCACCTAAAATAAATCATAACTTCGCATGTAATATCAACATGGGACATTACAGGTCTGGTGTACATTCAGAATACCAGCCTGGAGCACGGAGAGAAGGCTGAGTAGAAGACCTCAAGCTCTATGAGATCAAATCCCAACACAACCAGTAATGTGACTACCTCATGGAGGCAGAGGAGCAAAGCATAGAGTTACCCTCCACAGACTCTGAAAACAGTTGCGGGCCTGGATGAAGTGTTAAGGAGAGGACTTTCAGGAGAGAATACATGTCTCTGCCCATGACATGTGAATGAACCCTTAATAATTTGAGGTTAGTTCATGTTCTCCAAAGGAAATAGGCAAGGGTTGCAAGGGTTGTGATTAGGCTCATATCTAAAGCTCCACGCTCCAGGGAAGACCACCATGAGTACCGAGTGTCTCCATTCTCAAGATTTTGCGATAAACCCATTCATCCCAACCTTCCTCCACAGAAGGAAACTTCTGGCATAAAAGAGGCACACATTCAAGACCTCTGATGAAATCATACCAGAAAAGGATCATGAAAAAGAAAAATAACAATCATTTTCTTTTTTTCCCTTTTAAAAAAAGCAAGGCTAGGGGAGGGGTGACAGGTGAGCAGTGTGAAGGAAATAGAGGTAAATGGCCATTTTATTATTTAATTAATAAGACAACAAGTTATTTCTCTCCTACCCAGAACGAAAGGAATGGAGAGCCACCGAGTTCGTCTGTCATTACGGGGGCAGTGGCAGACTGCTGCCAAGTTAAAACATAGGCCTAGTGTTGCCAAATCCTCAGTATTTCAAGAGAAGCTGGAAATGAGATTTTTGATAAATTCTTGCAATTTTTAAAAGATAACAACTAATTCCATTTTTGTGCAAACTCTGAAGAGGCCAGAAAATCAGTCAGCTGGCCCAAAGGTCACTTGTCTGTGACCTCTGAATTAAAGAAACCAGTGGGCTTGCAAAGAAGAAGAAAGATCCACAGCAAACAACAAAATGTTAATTCTGAGTGGTGGGCAGATGGGTGTCTTCTGTACCATTTGCTCTCCTTTCCTGTTTAACTGAAAAAACCAAACAAAACAAACCCACTGCCGTCAAGTCGATTCTGACTCATAGCAACCCTATAGGACAGAGTAGAACTGGCCATACGATTTCCAAGGAGTGCCTGGTAGATTTGAACTGCCGACCTTTTGGTTAGCAACCATTGCTCTTAACCACTGTGACACCAGGGTTTCCTGTGTACTTGAAGTATTTCCTAATTAATTTTATGTGAGTGTTGGGGGGGAAGTGTTACTATTTTTTCAACTCTTCTATATTTTTTTAAATTTTCAAAATAAAAATTTGGAGAAAAAAAAACTTCTTTTAGGAAGACTAGTTTTTCCCATCTGGGCAAGTATAAGGCAGTTGCAGGAAGTATCCCTCTGAGCTTCTTGTAGGCCAGGAGGCACTGAGCAGAGATGGCTGCAAGGGGCAAGGAGAGAAACTGCTGCCCTTCTGGGAGTACTGCCCAATGGTTAGTGTCCCAAAGCACCTCTATCCGCTTTTTCTCCCTTCTTTGCCCTAGCAGCAGCACTATTCAAAAAAACGAAGCTCACTTTGCTTGGACTCATGGATTTCCACATTAAAAAAAAATCCATATAGCAAATATGGTACTGTCTTATCAATTGTTGAACCTGAGTAATGGGCATATAGGGATTCATTGTAGCACTCTACTTTTCTGTTATGTGTCCATTTTTTTCTTAATTCAAAAAAATTTTTAAGCAATTACTCAACGAACAAAATCACAGAAAGTACATTTTCTCTTTAAAACAACTGAGGAATATCAAGTGAGACCAAATCCAGATACACACACTAGCACTTTACATTTTCAAAACAAATTACCTTATAAAACCGACGGCTATCAACTAAATTTTGTAGTTTTATAAGAAGACAATCTGAAACACTACCTTCGGCTCAACTCTGGTTTGAGCACTTCAGAGCCTTCAGAAGGTGCTCCTGCGATCAGGTGAGCTGCAAAAATCTGCACTATGGGATGGTAATGTCTCTGAAGAGGAAACAGGACAGCACAGTGTACACCAGTCAGTACTTTATAAAACATGAGCTACAGCAAAGATGCTCTTTAATACAAATTTAAAATTAAAAAAAAAAAGTATGTGTATGTAATTCATAAGAAGCACGTACATACAGAAAGAAAATTATCTTTGCTCATGGGATACGACACAAATCTCTTTGATGACCAAGTTACCAGTGATGTAGCTTAGTCTTGCTTTCACTGTACGGAAAGAAAAATCAAAAAGCAATTTCTCTTTCAGAGTGAAAGGAATTACTAGTTTACAACAAGTTTCCTGATGCTTGTATTTTCTACTAATCTCACTCTGATGCTGTCCAAGGTGAAACCACCTTGAAACCTCTATCTAAGTCTCCTCGGATCAGATCCCATAAAAATGTACCTGATAACAAATCTTGCTCTACTGTAAACAGCGTTAGGGAAAGATTTCAGTAAATCTTCCACAACCTTGCCCCACTAAGCTGTCATCATTTTCTGCTTCCTTAGAAAATGTACTTCAACAATCTAAAGAACAATAAAAGCAAAGTAAAATGTAGCAGATTAAACAGGAATTCTAGGAAAGGCAGCCCCAGAACCAAATATATTAAGTACTCTAACAACAGCAAAAAAAAAAAACCAGGATCACTCTTACCCGGAGTGCATGCAATTCCCAAAGAGCAGTGTTCTGAGCATTACAGTACTCGGGTTCATCCAGCTCAGGGAGGAAGACCCCACTTCCCTGAGATTCATTGTCAAGCAACAGATCTGTTTTTGGGAAGGTCTGCAAAAATGTCACGTTTTTTAATAAAAACAATTTAAGTTTATAAGAGAACAAAAATCACAGAGAAATACTTTATCTTGGCTTGTTTTTAAAAGAATTCATTTTATCTTGCAAAGGAAAACAAATAATCTTTTTTACCCAGCAATCTAACTTTTAGAAATCTTTTCCATAGAAACGTTTATATTAGAACATGATAAGGACAATCACTGTAACATCATTTGTAATAGCTAAATATAAGAAACCTACTTAGCTTGTTACTTAGCCTTTCTGCACCTCAGTTTCCCCATCTGTAAAATGGGGACAATAATAGTAGCTACCTCACAGATTTGTTATGAAAATTGAGTTTGTAGAGCATCTATAGCAGTCGCAGGCACGTACTAAGAACCCTATAAATGTTTGTTAATCAAGTAACTAAATAAACCTTTACACAGTCATTAAAAAGAACCAAGTAGTCAAGTTTGTACTGACATGGAAATGTGTCCACCACCTTTAAGTGATAATTTAAAAAAAAAAAAAAGAAAAAAAAGCACCTGCATAATAATCCCCTTTCCATTAAAAAAAGTTTTGTGGTTTCTGTATCTATTTCGTTTATGTATTTATGTATGAATAAAAATATGTCTGCTGAAAAGATATCACCAAATGGTAAAAGTGATTACCTCTGGGAAGTGTCAGTAGGAGCGGAATGCTTTCCTTTTTTAATTTAATGTACTTTTATTACCTGATTTTGTTATAAATGTGAATTACTTTGTTTTTTTTAAATTGTTGACAGCATACACAGTAAAACATACACCAATTTAACAGTTTCTACATGTAAAATTCAGTGACATTGATTACATTCTTCAAACTGTGCAACCAATCTCACCTTCCTTTTCCAAATTGTTCCTCTCTATTAATATGAACTCACTGCCTCCTAAGCTTCCTATCTGCCCTTTGTAGTTGATGTCAATTTGATCCCATACAGATAATTCTTCAAAAGAGTACAATGTTCAAGGCAAATATTCTTAACTAATAAGCTAGCCTACTGTTTCATTCACACAAGACTTCGGGGGATATTTTTGATTTAAGGCTTAAGGTTTAAAGATTATCCCATCTCAGGGCAGTTTTAGGGCTTCATTCAGCCTCAATGGCTCCAGAAGTCTGGATTTCACAAGAATTTGGAGTTCTGCTCCCATCTTCCTCCCTTTTGATCCGGATTCTTCTATAGAATCTTTGATCAAAATATTCAGCAATGGTAACTAGGCACCACCTAGTTCTTCTGGTCTTATGGCAAAGGGGACAATGGACGCAATAAGGCAAGCATTCCATTTCCTCCTCCTATTCTGGACTCTCCCTCTTCCTCTGATGCTCCAGCCAGAGACCAACTGTTGTGCCTTGGATGGCCACTTGCAAGCTTTTAAGACCACAGGCACTACACAACTACTTTGGTGCTTAAAATAATAATGTAAATAGGGGAAAAAGACAATGCATCAAACAAATAAAAAATCCACTGTACTACAAAAACTTAGTTCTATTCATTTGTATCAATACTTACATGCATTAATATTCTGTTAGCTGCTAAAATACCAATGCTTGCATTTGGAAGAACATGAAGAGCAAGGGTAGAAAGACGCTTGATGAATGCAAGGGCTCGCTGCTGAGAAACCTGCTTTCTGCGCTTAGTTAGCATGACATCCAAGCACTGGAGTATAATCTCAACATCTTCATTGGTAGCACCTATAACAGCAAGCATATCCTTCAGGGATGTTTTTCTCATTACTTTCTCATTATGCAACTTCACTGAATTCCAGGAAGACCCAAGATAAACCATTTCCCTAACCAGTGAAGCAGTGCTATACTGCTAACGAGATATACTGCATCTCCAGTGAATTCCGAAAGTTCTTGTCAAGTTTGACATACGTTAAATACAGATGTGTGGCACTGGCAGGTCAGGATTTTATGTACCAGTTCCAGTTCTTATTTCTCATTTTTGATCCACTATAATTCTGGTCACAGCGTATTCTTAAAAGACAATTTAAATTTTTTTATTTTATTGTAGCTAAATACATATAAAAATTGCCATTTTAATCATTTTTGAGTATATAATTCAGTGCCATTAAGTACCTCCACAATGTTGTACAACAATCATTACCATAAAAGATTAATATTTATTAGGGACACATTATCTAAACAAACATACCTGCATGTAACTTGAACAGTGTTTTGTAGAGGTGTGTATAGAATTTCATTGGATCAATATTGAGAACATCACCTTTGAAATACAACAAACATCCATTAGGTACGTTACAACTTCCAAAGCTAAAGCAAACAAAACCTGATTAAGAAAGCATCTTACCCTGGCCAGAAAGAATATGAAAAGCAGTCTGTACACAGTGAAGACTTTCTCGGTAGCTCAGGTCCTTAAAAGAGAGAGAAAAAAAAACAGGATATTTAGAACCATAATTACCATTTATGTATTAAAAAAATAATTCATTAATAGAATTACTTACACCAGACTCAATCAGAGAATGTAGAACTACTAATAAATCATCAAAAAACTCCACATTTATAAGGTGAGCAAACCTAGAATCAAACAAAACTTCGTTAACAGGTAGCCTAAAAGCAGAAACAAAGCAGCTAAATATTAAACTTGACTTTAAAACTATATTTTTAATATCCCATATTTCAAAATGTTAGCTATGATGGAATGATGATGATTACTGATACTTTTCATTAATGCAGACTGGCCTTTTTCACAATTCGTCCAAGGGTGAATGCTACTAGAAATATATGAGGCACTAAACAGACTAAAAATACCCATAAACACTTCTGCCCTGACAAAGAAGTTGCTAAGGGCAAACAACTACCCTGAGGAGAGCTTATTAGGCATCTAGCAGGCTCTAAGTCAAAAAGGAGCTTCTAGGAAAACACATGGCAGGAAGAGGGAAAGGAAGGAATATTCCACTGTTTAAGAGAATACAGATCCTATGACAGCTTTAAAGAGAAAATGGAAAGAATCGTGGACCTGGTGTCTGGATCAGGGTGTGCTATGAATTACCTCTGTAACCTAGTAAGTCACTTGACTATCTTGGGCGTCTATTTCTAAAAATAACTGAGTCTACCTAATAGGGTTGAAGAGAAAGCACTGTATGCGATACTAAGTATGAGAGCGCTCTATAAACTATTAGGTACTGAAGTAGCTTTAAGTCAGGATATCTCTTCGATATTAGCTGAGAGATTCTAACACTATGTAAACCTTAGAATAAGAAAGGACAACCTGCACATGGAACATTCACCAGAATAGACCACATATTAGGCCATAAAGCAAGCCTTAAAAAAATCGATAGCATTAAAATATTACAAAGCATCTTTTCTGACCACAAAGCCATAAAAGAAGAAATCAACAACAGAAAAAGCAAGGAAAAAAAATCAAACACATGGAAACTGAACAACACCTTACTCAAAAACTACTGGGTTACAGAAGAAATTAAGGATGGAAAAAAGAAATTCACAGAATCAAATGAGAATGAAAACACATCCTACCAGAACCTTTGGGACCTAGCAAAAGTAGTGCTCAGAGGTCAGTTCATAGCAATAAATGCACACATCCAAAAAGAAGAAAGGGCCATAATCAAAACATTAACCCTAAAACTGGAACAAGCAGAAAGAGAGCAGCAAAAGAGGACCTCAGGTGCTAAAACAAAGGAAATAATAAGAGTTAGATCAGAATTAAATGAAATAGAGAATAGAAAAAAACAACTGAAAGAGTTAACAAGACCAAAAGCTGGTTCTTTGAAAAAAAAGACAAAACTGATAAACCACTGGCCAAACTGACAAAAGAAAAACAGGAGAGGAAGCAGATAACCCGTATAAGAAGTGAGATGGGTGATATCACAACAGACCCAACTGAATTAAAAGAACCATAACAGAATACTATGAAAAAACGTACTCTAACAAATTTGAAAACCTAGAGGAAATGGACGAATTTCTAGAAACTCACTACCTACCTAAACTAACACAAACAGAGGTACAACAACTAAATAAACCCTTAACAAAAGAAGAGATTGAAAAGGTAATTTAAAAAACTCCCAACAAAAAAAAAGCCCTGGCCTGGATGGCTTCATTGGAGAATTCTACCAAACTTTCAGAGAAGAGTTAACACCATTACTACTAAAGGTATTACAGAGCATAGAAAAGGATGAAATACTCCCAAACTCATTCTATGAAGCCAGCATAACCCTGATACCAAAACCAGGTAAAGACACCACAAAAAAAGAAAACTACAGACCAGGA